CGTGGCGGCGGCGGGGTGGGAGGGGCGGTGACAGCCGAGGGGCGTCTGGGACCGCCGTGGGAGCACGCGTGTGCGGGGTTGTGGAGCTGCAGGTGTCTCGCCTGGGTGTGAGCGTGTGTCTGGCTGCGAGTTTGCGCTGGGGTCTCCAGGGAGTGGTGGTGTCAGTCCGGGGGGATGTTGGGGTGTGTGTGAGTCTGTGGGGTGAGTGCCCTGTTTATGTGCGAGTCTACCTGTGTGTGTGTGTGTGGTGTGTGTGTGGTGTGTGTGTGTGTGTGTTCTCTGAGTCTTGCCTGCGGGAGCTGTTTGGGAGGGATCCCGGGTTGCCTCAGTGTGCTCCAGTAAGTGGTGTGTAGTGTGTTTGTGCGTTGCCCGAGTGTGCCGTTTGGGTGAGTTTGCATGTCTGTTTTGCCTGTGGGGGGGGCTGTGTCCATTCGTGCTTGTGTGTGTTGCTTGAGTGAGCTGCGTTTGTGTGTTTATATGTGTCTTGTCTGAGTGTGTTGCCTCTGGCGTGTGCCCCTACAACTTGCCCATGTGGACTACCTGCCGCTGGCTGTCTCTGTGGATGTCTCTGCTGAGCTAGTATGACGATGCGCCTGCCAAATGTTTGTTTTTTGTCCAGGTGTCTGTGAGTCCTGTGTGTGTGGGGGGGAAGTTGACTCCGTTGGTGTTTTGCCTGGGTGTCTTGCATTGGCGTCTGGGAATTGAGGAACCGCAGCTCTGTGTAGTCAGTGGGTGTTGCTGCCTGCCTCTCCGATCGGGGTGTGTGTGTGTGTGTGCGTGTGCGCGCGTGTGCTGGGTCTGAGGGGCTTGTCTCTGCGGTGGGCTGGCTCATGTGTGTCATGTGGGCTGCGTGTGTGGAGTGTTTATGTCCGTCACGTGAGATCAGTGTTTCTGCCAGGGCTTTAGGTGTGTGTCAGGCTGGTGCTGTGCGGGATTAAGAGTTTGCTGCGTTTGCCTCTGTGTGTGTGTGTGCACGCACGCGTGCACGCGCTGGAGCCTGACAGTTGGTGAGGGTGTCTGGGGGAGGGGGGCACAGGGACAGGCTGATGTCAGCTCCTGTGCTGGTGTGTCACATCTCTTTGGACAGGCAGTGGTTGCTGGCATGTGTGGGTACACATCTGGGTCTGATGACATGTGTCCATGTGTCCTGGGGGTCTGAAAATGGGGGCTGAGTGGGTGTGTTCTGGGTGTGTGATTGTGGCTGGCTGTTTTGGGTTGATGAGTGTGAAGTTCTGTCCTGGGGTGTGTATACCTTGTCTCTTGGGTGTGTAGATGTGTCTGAGAGTTGAGGCCGTGACTGTATGTGTTCCAGTCAGTCTGGGGTGCTGATGGTTACACTGTGTGTATGTCTCTGGGCTTATCAACAGTGGGGTCAGTGTGGGGTTTCGACAGTTTGTATATGTCTGTGTGGGGATGCAGGCGGGTTGTACCAGCCGGTCTGTGTATGGTGCTTGTGTAGGTCTGTGTATGTTTCTGCACATTTTGGTCAATGTGTGTCTGTATCCTGATATCGGTTCCATCTCTGTGTGTGAATGGGAGGTGGGGTGGCAGGTCAGGCTGGTCAGTTCTGTGTGAGTCTGTGTATTTGTTGTGTGCCTGTCACCGTCCCCCATACACACCCCACAGTCCTCTCCGTTGGGGTCCTGCAAGAACCCCCTTGTGTGCTGTGGGAGTCTCTCCCTGTGTGCCCATCCCTGTATTCCAGAAATTATCCAAACCAGCTTATGTCGTGTGTCATCCCAGGTTGGGTGGGTCTGTGTTGGAGAGCTGTCATGACCCTGACACACAGACCCACACACAGACTCCTGACAAGGCCCTTCCATCTGGGTCTTGTGTAAACCCTTGTACTTGCTGTGACAGCCTTGTGTGTTTCCTGTGTGTATGGCCGTCAGCCTGTACACAGGTTGGCCCATCAAACCCCTGCCCAGTGTGAGGCCCTGTGTGCTGTGGGAACGGCCCCTGCCCTCCCCTCATGTGTGCTCATGACTGTGTGCTACTCCAGGGTCGCATGTATGTAATGTGGGGCCCTGAGCCCCCTGCAGGTCCCGGCTGACCTGCCCCTCCCGTGTGTCCCACAGGCCCCAGGGAGCGCCATGGCCCGCGCACGCCAGGAGGGCAGCTCCCCCGAGCCCGTAGAGGGCCTGGCTCGCGACGGCCCGCGCCCCTTCCCGCTCGGCCGCCTGGTGCCCTCGGCCGTGTCCTGTGGCCTCTGTGAGCCCAGCCTGCCCGCTGCCCCCGCCCTGCTGCCCGCCGCCTACCTCTGCGCCCCTGCCGCCCCGCCCGCCGTCACCGCCGCCCTAGGGGGCCCCCGCTGGCCTGGGGGTCCTCGAAGCCGGCCGCGAGGCCCGCGCCCCGACGGTGAGTGCCCGTTTCATGCCCAAGATGTTGAGAGCCAGGAAGAGAGACCCCAGGGGACGAAGAAGTGGGAGCGAAGTAGGGGGGGGCCGGGGAGCCCGGCCACAGGGAGGGTGTGGCCAGTGTGGTCTTTGTGTTGCGAGAAGCAGGAAGACCGAGTGGGAGGCGGGGTAGGGGAGAGGCCGAGTGGGAAGTCCCTTCTGGAATCTGACTGCAGTCCCCGAGTCGCAGGCCAAGGCCCCTTCCGGGCCTGGGGCAACAGCTGTTTCCCAGCCCACTCCCCCAGTCTGGGTCCCCTTGACTCTCTAGAGGATTGCAGTTGGAGGGAGGGTGGGCCGCGTGGGAGGACTGGCCCCTCCGGACTTTGGGGAGGGAGTGAGGGTGGCTTTTTGTCTTTATTTGCATCTCTTTGGACAGGCAGGGTCCTCTCGGCCGTCCCGGAGGAGGAAGGAGAGGGGGAGGGGCTATTGTGTTGGGAAATTCCCCTCGGGGCGGGGGTGAGTTGTGGGGAGGGAAGGGTTAAAGGTCCTCTGCCTGATGGGCTGTTAACCCCGCGATGCCTGGCGAGCCACATCCTTGCAGGGACACACACACACACACACACACACACACACACAGGGTGGCTGGGAAAAGAGTGTCCCGATTTCTGCGAGCCCGTGGGGGAAGGGGACAGGAAGGTCCTGGCGGTGGAGGAGGGGATTTCCTGTATCAAGACGCGAGTCACAGATGGGGAAACTGAGGCCTGCTTTCAGACCTTAAGGAGGGGAACCATCCTGAGACAGAAGTCCGAAGGACTTAGAAGGGGGAAGGAGAGAAAGGTGTCACTAGCCTCGCAGGCCCCCAGGACCGTCTTTGGTGGCAGCCACAGTCTGGCCTTCTGGGCTCCAGGCCCCGGCCACATCCGGGGGTGTGGCTTCACTGTGGTTGGACCCTTGAGGGCAGGAGACCTGAGGCTGTGACTGTAGGTGGGATCCGTTGCTGTATCCCAGAGTGACCTTCGTAGAATGGGCCTCCGTTTTCCCCATCTGTCAAATGGGGCAGGCAAAATTTGACCCCCTTTTCGGAACGGAAGCACTGAGATCAGAGGAAAGATTTCCAGGCTACCCCGGGCTGTGGGGAGGTGGCGGCTGACCCCACAGAGGCCCCCCCAGGACCTCTGCTGGTTTGCTGGTGCCTGAGGAAGCAGGCAGGGGCTGAGAAGTCCGCCCCTATGAGGGGGAGAAGGCGTCGCTAGAAATGAGGAGGGGAGCGGACGAAAAACCAGGCGGCTGAAAAAGGGAGCAGCAGGCCTGGCCATCTGGGCTCCAGGGTCCTCAGGGACACCTCGGGGAGGGGAGCTGGGTGCTGACCTCGCCCCTCGGCCTCTCCCAGGTCCTCAGCCCTCACTCTCGCCGGCGGAGCAGCACCTGGAGTCACCCGTCCCCAGCGCCCCGGGGGCCCTGGCGGGCGGTCCCACCCAAGCGGCCCCGGGGGTCCGGGGAGAGGAGGAGCAGTGGGCCCGAGAAATCGGGGCCCAGCTGCGGCGGATGGCGGACGACCTCAACGCGCTGTACGAGCGGCGGGTGAGTCTAGGGGAGGGGTAGACGGCAGGTGGGACTTCCCGCCGGGGGCCGGGGGGCGGGGCTGCAGGCCGCGCCGCCAGATGTGCGGCAGCTGCTGCCCAGCGCGGCGGGGTCGCGGCGGGGACAAATTGGGGGGGAGGGTGGCGTGCCCGCCAAGCCGCCCACGGACCGCGCTGGCACGGCTGGGCAGGGCCGGGGTAGCCAGGCTGCCCGAGCGCTGCGGCAGCGGGGACTGGGGCGGCGCTGGGCTGCGCGGCTCATATATCCCGGGCTATTTATAGCCGGTGAGTCAGCAGCCGCGCGAGGCCGCGCCCGCTCCTCCCCAGCCCGCAGCGCCACCCAGCTTCCCGGGCAGGGGGCGGGGCGGCAGGAAGCCCCGCCCCCGGGAGCCCGCCCCGCCCCCTCCCCCCTCGAAAACATTACTCGGCCTTTTTAAGAACAAAACAGGGCGCCCACCGTCCAGCTCTATCTAATCCGAGCAGCACACCCGCGCAGCTTGCTAAATTTCTTTTTTTTTTTTTAAAAAAAAGGGTGACTTGGCAGAAGGGCTACATGTATTTTTATAATGGAAAACAAAAATTATTCAAGGTGTAGTTTGCTCGGTGTTTCCGGCTGCCAATTAATTCATGGGGTCTCAGAGAAGAGATTTTTAAAAAGATGCGTGGTAACTAAAAAACAACTGCAGAAATGCTGATTGTTATGCATAAGGTACAGGTCGTCGAGTAAAATAAAATCATTTAAAGAAACCGCAGCCCGCGTCCTGAAGCTCCTCGCCCGCCCCTCCCCCACCCTCCTTTCCGAGGTGGAGAAGCCCGTTCCCTGTGGGGGTGGGGCGGTTGTTCAATTACCACATATTTATTTACCGGGCCCGAGACAATGCTTGGACTCGTGGGGCGCTTTAAGCCTCACGCAGATCCTGGTGGCACAGTGGTTAAGTGCTCGCCTGCTAACAGAAAGGTGGGCGATTCGAATCCACCTGTGGCTTCACAGGAAAAGACGCGGTCATCTGCCCCCGCCAAGGTTCCGCCCAGAAAACCCTGTGGGCCACTTCTCCTCTGGCCTGTGGGGTTGGAATAGACTCATCAGCACACACTGCTAGCAGCAGAGATCATGCAGGGGCTCCCTGGGTGGTGCAAACAGGGGATCTGGTCCCCGAAAATCAGCCACTGTGACCCCTCTGAGCACAGTTCTAGTCCGACATGCATGGGGTCGCCATGACACACGTGGGGTCCCAGTCACTCGGTGGCAGCTGGTTTAGGTGACCCGGTGGGTGTCTCTTTCAGCACTGTCCTCCCCTCCCTGTTACGGGTTAGGGGGTCTGAGAGCTTTCGTTTTTTTTACCGCTGTATCAACGTGTGTATGTGTGGGTTCCTTTCCCTTACCTGTTTTCTCATTGGTAGCTATTTAGGGTATTTGTTTACTCGGTTGCTCTATTTGCTTGTTTTCTTCTTCCACACAAGTGTTCCCAGGGTAGACATCTACGTGGGTCTTGATGCCTTCAGTTTTCCTAGATGGTTACTTACTTGTTCTCCAGGGGACCTTCACAGGGTGCCGGCAGCAGGCGTTTTAATTTATGCCAACCTGATAGGCCCCTGTGTTGTCCTGGCCGGAGTAGGTGAAGGGTGTCCAGGAAGCGGGTGCTGGTTTCTGGGACCTCCCCCACCCCAAGATCCTCTAGTGATCACCTGTTGTTGTTGTTATGTGCCATCGAGTCAGACCTGACTCATAGCGACCCCTCCTTGGGTTGCTGAGGCAGTATCACTATGGAAGTAGATTGCCCAACCTTCCTTCCGAGGAGTGGCTGGTGGGTTTGAACCTCCAGCCTTCTGGTTAGCAGTCAAGTGCCTTAGGCACTGTGCTACCAGAGCTCCTCATGATCACCTAAGTACCCTTCTTGTTCTAAGCTGTACAATGAGTTCTCCTTTCCCCTGTGTCTTCTGGGAATGAGGCTGGATGTCCCACTCAGCACAGGGGAAGTGTCCCACACACTCAGCGGAAGGAGTCGTTGCTGTAAGTTGTCTTCGGGTCAGTTGTGACTCACCGTGACCCACGTGTGTCAGAGTTGGACAGGGTTTTCAGTGGCTGGTTTGGAAGTAAATCTGCACTCCTTCCTTCCAGGGCACCTTCAACCTTTCAGATGGTAACCGAACACCATCCTGTTGCACCTCCAGGGACTCCCACAGCAGGGGGCGCTGTAGATGCAGTCATTTGCGGCCTTGCTTTGCATTTTCACCAGAGGGGAGGTTTCTCTGAGCTAAGCACCACCCTTCCTTCTCACTTCCTAGCATTTTGGAGCCGAGGGTCCCATGTCTTCATTCGGCCCCTGGAGAGGGGGACAGAGGTTTCCCCGAGGTCACTCTGAACCCGGCTTTGCCTGTTCATCCTTCTGCACCGCCTGAGCATAGAGGAGACTGTTCTAGCACCCCAAAGTCAGTGGGCTCCCTTCTCTCTGTCTTGCCATCTTTTTAGGGGAGGGCAGGATGGGCTGCACTGCAGCCCCGACCCGGAGCCCGTGTGACTTTGGACGGCTGATGTCCCATGTGGAGGGAGATGGCAGCACTTGGCAGGTGCAGGGGGCATCTGACTGCACACACACTCCCCCCCCCCCTTCACATTCTGGACAAGGATGTCAGCTCGCGGGGAGCTGATGACCTGGTCCTAGTGGGTGGAGGAGTTGGGAGTTAAAACTCGACTGATCATAAAAGTGGGAGTCCCTGGGTGGCGCCGAGAGCTGAGGACTGGTCTCCTAACCAAAAGGCTGGGGGTTCAAACCCACCCGGGGTGGCTTGGAAGGCAAGCCTGAGGATCTGTCTTCGGAAGATCTTCCATGGAAAACGGCACGGAACGCAGTTTAACTCCAACACACACAGTTCACCACGGAAGACTGCACAGGACACAGTTTAACTGACACACACACACGGGTCACCCTGAGCCAGGGGCCACTCCTTGGCACTGGTTGTTGTTGTTAGCTACTGTTGGGTGCACTGCACCTCGTGGCAGGCAGCCCCTGTGGCAGAATGGACCTGCCAGAGCACATCACCAGGCCTTTCTCCCATGAGGCCCTGGAAGGGTTCAAACCGCCAACCTTTCAGTTTGCAGCCAAGCACTTAACCCTGTGCCCCAGGGCTCCTTAGCAGCTGGTTACTGGTTAGTAACGGTTCGCTGCCTCAGAGGGCTGGTGGGCGTGTGTGGAGCTTACCGGGAGCATCTCCTAGGCTGAGCTGTGCATGGACCTCTGTTCCCACAAGCCCTGCCGTGGGACCCCAGCCCACGCTAATCCCTCCCCTCTCTCTCTCTCCCCCTCCTCAGAGACTGGAAGAGCAACAGCGGCATCGCCCCTCACCCTGGAGGGTCCTGTACAATGTCATCATGGGACTTCTGCCCTTACCCAGGGGCCACGGCGTCCCTGAGATGGAGCCCAATTAGGTGCCCCGACCCGCCCGGCGGACGTCGGGGGCTCGGGGGGCAGGTCCCCCCATCTCCTGACGCCCTGGCCAGCGCGGGGGACTTGTTCTGCACCATGTAGCATACTGGACCTCCCAGCCCCGCCTGCCCCGGGGCGGCCAGGGCAGCCACTCCGGCCCCAACCTCGGGCCTGTCCGGGGCAAGGGGGCCACCGAGGGAGACGTGGACTCCTGGATACCAGGGGGGGCGGGCTGACGGACTCAGCGTCTGAAGGCGGTGGTGACTGAGGGGTGGAGACCTAGCCGCCCGCCTCTGCTGCCCACCGCCATCTCAGGAAAGGCTGCCCGTGCTGGCTGCCTGTTCCAGCTGCAGGGGGGACGCTGGGGCGGTCCCCCCAGTGCGCCTTCACTTTGGGCCTGGCCTCGGGCCCCTGGTGCTTCCCCCCCTCCTCCCCCGGAGGGGGCCCTTGAAGAGCAAATGAGCCAAACGTGACCACTAGCTTCCTGGAGCCAGAGAATGGGGCGTGTGGGACCCCGGCGCCCAGCCATCTTCCCTGAGCCAGCGGCGGGTGGCGGGCATGCCTGCCTCACCTTCCTCGGGGGTGGCCAGGAGGGGCCCAGACTGGAACCTGTGCTCTGCCCGCGACCACCCCCTCCCCCCATCGACCCCATTCATAGGTTTAGAGAGAGCACGCGTGACCACTGGCATTCATTTGGGGGGTGGGAGATCTTGGCGGAAGCCGCCCCAGCCTTAGTCCCCAGGGCAAGGCACTGGGGGGAGGATGGGGAGTCAGGGAGGGGGGGTCTCGGAAGAGGGAAGGAGTCTGGGAGCGGGGAGGGACGGCCCAGCCTGTAAAATACTGTATATGCGCTGCTGTAGATACCGGAATGAATTTTCTGTACATGTTTGGTTAATTTTTTTTGTACATGATTTTTGTATGTTTCCTTTTCAATAAAATCAAATTGGAACAGTGGACGCTCTTTCTGCCCGACTTCCCTGTCACGTGGCCTGGGGCGAGGCCTGGGCTGGTCTGTTCAGAGCCTCTCACTGGGATGAGTGTCCGGCTCTGTCCCTTCGTAGCTGTCCTCATTGGTCACAGGGAAGCCTGGGGAAAATGACCCTTCTAAACTCACTGCCATCGAGTGGATTTGACTCATAGCGACCCCTCCTTGGGTTTCCGAGGCGGTATCACTCCAGAAGTAGATTGCCCCATCTTCCTTCCCAGGAGTGGCTGGTGGGTTTGAACTGCCAGCCTTCTTGTTAGCAGTCAGATGCCTTAGGCAGTACGCTACCAGAGCGCCCTTCTAGAAACCAAAAAACAAACCTGTTGCCATGCAGTTGATTCTGACTCATGGAGACCCATGTGTTACAGAGTAGGACTGCCCAATGGGGCTTCCTTGGCGGTAATCTCTATGGCAACAGATTGCAGGCTTTTCTTTCACAGAGGCTCTAGGTGGGCTTGAACCACCAACCTTTAGGTTAATAAACCAACAACCAAAGTCACTGCCACTGAGTCAGTTTGACTCATAGTGACCCCTCCTTGGGTTTCTGAGGCAGTATCACTATGGAAGTAGATTGCCCAGCCTTCCTTCCGAGGAGTGGCTGGTGGGTTTGAACTGCCAGCCATCTAGTTAGTAGACAGATGCCTTAGGCACTACGCCACCAGACGAGCACAAACCATTTGTGTCACCCAGGGACTTTCTTCTAAGACACCAAGGCCCAGGAAAAGGGGCCACCACTTTGGACAGGACTTTGGCAAAGCCAAAGATGAACATGGCTATGGCCAACGTTTGCTTTCCTCGGCGTCTCCCTTAGAAGGTGGGAGGTGCGCATGGGAGGGTCCCAGGTAGCCGTGTTGCCACCGTGCAAAGCCAGCCACCTGTTTCTGACAGTTGTCAAAGGGTAAGTGAAGTCTGGTCAAGTCAGCCACAGATGGAATAGCAGTGAAGCTACGCTGGTGGGCCCACACAAACAATGCTACGACAAGGAAGTGGCCAGAGGAAGCTGGGCATACGGGTTCTCCGAGTGTCCCAGGGCCCTGCAGGGACAAGTGGCCACACAAGCCTTCACACCCAAAGAGGCGAAGCTCTGTGTGGTCTCACCCTGGGTGCACAGTGTGTCTACTTAGGGTGCTACCTGCCTAGTGCCGCTCTGACAGGAAATATACCGCAAATGGGATGGCCTTAACACACAGGAGTTTATTCTTATAGTTTGGAGGCTTTAAGTCCAAGTTCAAAGTGCCAGGCTCTAGGGTCTGGGGGAAAGCCCCTCAACTTGGGGTCCAGCTCTGCCTCCTGCTCCCAGCCCACTGGAGCTAGAGGCGTTTCTTCACTCAGACAGCTGCTGGCTGCGGAGGCTGAGAAGCCCCAAGGTTGACAAGTAAAAAGGCACAGTCCCAATGTTACCAAACCTCACAGCAGGCCTTTAACTTAAGTCCATTGTAAGTACCAAAGTTGGCAGAGTATAGCAGACTAATGAGCAATGACATGGCTACATGCAGGGTCCAAGTGTGCCATAGGCTAGGGACCATTCCCAAGGCTTCTCCTTGTATACAGGAAGCAGACCACATCCCAAAGGCAGCTACTCAGCTGCTTGTGGTAGATTCCACCATGGAGCTGATTGCCTGTCTCATCATGGGGACTAACTACCACCAGCTGCCCAGCCATTCAACCAGGCCAGCCAGGCTGACACACAAACAAAACCACCACACCGCCCCTAACCAGCAGCCTCTCTCCAGAACCTTCTCACACGATAACTGAAACGGATGGCGGTATGTCTACCATCTTACCACGTGTGTTCCGTTTGCCCTGTTTCATTGGCTTCTGTTCCTCCATTCTCCCTTTCTTGCCTTCTCTTGGATTAGTTGAGTAGCTTTTAGAATTCCATGTAATCTGTGGCATTCTAATTGCTCTCGTAACATTTTCTCATGTTGCTCTATTGTTAGTTGCCATCCAGTGGGAGCCCGACCCGTGGAGATCAGTGCTGTGATCCACAGGATTGTCGACTGGCAGATGTTTGGAACTAGATCATCAGCGTTTTGTAGTCCATCTTAGCCTGGAACTCCGCCGAAACTCGTCTGGCATCCTGGGAACACACCAACTTCCACTGACATGAGTGGGGGCTGAGCAGGAGGTGCACTGACTGGGAATCAAACCCAGGTCTCTTGCGTGGAAGATGAGAATGCTACCACTCAACCACCACTGCGCCATTCACTGTCACCCTAAGGATTGCAAAACCCCAGTACACACAGTGTATTTAGAGCTGATACTGTACTAGTTCGCATATCATGGAGAAATCTGGTGACCATTAAGGTCCATGTTGTTAGATGCCGTTAAGTCAGTCCCAACTTTTAGTGACCCTATATACGAAAGAATGAAACATGGCCTGGTCCTGCACCATTTTCACAATTACTGTCATGTCTGAGTCCGTTGTTGCAGCCACTGTGCCAATCCGTCTCGTTCAGGGTCTTCCTCTTTCTCACTGACGCTCTACTCTACCGAGCATGATGTCGTCCTCCAGAGACAGGGCCCTCCTGATAACATGCACTATGTACGTGAGGCAGTTTCACCATCATTGCTTCTAAGGAGCGTTCTCACTGTACTTATTCCAAGACAGATTTGTTCCTTTCTGGCACTCCATGGTATGCTCAATATTCTCCACACACCCTCTTCTTTTTTTTTCTTTTTAAATATTTATATTTTTTACACTTCAAAACGTTGTTGTTAGGTGCCATCGAGTTGGCTCTGACTCACAGAGACCCCTGCGTACAACAGAACGGAACACTGCCTCGATCCTCTGCCATCCTCATAATCCTGGCTGTACCCGAGCCCATCGTCACAGCCCTTGCGCTGTGGTAATCCATCTCGATGAAGGGGTTTCCGTTTTCGCTGCCCCTCCACTTTACGAAGCATGATATCCTTCCTTCTCCAGGGACCGGTCTTTTCTCACAACATGATCGAGTATGTGAGATGAGAATGGTCGGCCCATTCTCCCTTTCAAGATGACTTGTTCATTCTTCTCTAGCAGGCCATGGTATTTTCAGTATTCTTCGCCAGCACCACAATTCAAATGCATCAATTCTTCTCCAGTTTTCATTACTCACTGTCCACCTCTCATATGCATATGAGACTCTGGCTTGGAGTATGCACACCTCAATCTTTAAAGTGACATCCTTGTCCTTTACACTTAAAGAGGACTTTTGCCGCACATTTGCCCAGTGATCTACATGGCCTGCCATCACCCATCTATCAGTTTGTTGTACTGGTGGCTTGTGTGTTGCTGGGAGGCTGGAGGCTATGCCACTGGTATTTCAAATACCAGCAGGGTCACCCATGACGGTCAGGTTCCAGCAGAGTTTCCAGATTAAGACGGACTCGGAAGAAGGAAGGGGCCATCCACTTCTCAAAGAATTGACCAGGGAAAACCTTATGAATAGCAGTGAAAGACTGTCTGATATATTACTGGAAAACGTTATGAATAGTCCTGAGACACTGTCCAATATACCGCAGGAAGATGAGCCCCTCAGGTCGGAAGGCACTCAAAATTTGAGCGGGGAGGAGCTGCCTCTTCAGAGTAGAGCCGACCTTGATGTGGATGGAGTAAAGCTTTCAGGACCTCCACTGGCTGAAGTGGCACAACTCAAAATGGGAAAAAACAGCTGCAAACATCCATTAATAACTGGAACACAGAATGTATGAAGGATGAATGTAGGGAAACTGGAAGTTGTCAAAAATGAAATGGAACGCATAAAGATCTATATCCTAGGCATTCATGAGCTGAAATGGACTGTTTTTTGGCATTTTTGAGTCAGACAACCATATGAATGTACTCTGCTGTGAACGACAAACTGAAGAGGCTTCATCATCACAAAGAATGTGTCAAGATCTATCTTGAAGTACAACGCTGTCAGTGATAGGATAATATCCATACACCTACAAGAAAAAACAGTTACTACTACTACTATTCAAATTTACGCACCAACCACCAAAGCCAAAAACAAGGAAGTTGAAGAATTTTACCAACTTCTGCAGTCTGAGATTGACCAAACATGCACTCAAGATGTGTTGATTATCACTGGTGACTGGAATGCAAAAGTTGGAAACAAAGAAGAATCACGGGTAGTTGGAATATATGGCCTTGGTGACAGAAATAACGCTGGAGATGGCATGATAGAGTTTTGCAAGACCAATGAATTATTCGTTGCACGTATCTTTTTTCAACAACATGAGCAGTGAGTATACAGGTGGACTTTGCCAGATGGAGGGCACGGGAGTCAGATTGACTACATCTGTGTAAAGAGGTGATGGAGAAGCTCAATACCTTCAGTCATAACAAGGCCAGGAACAGACTGTGGAACAGACCAACTGCTCATATGCAAGTTCAAGTTGAAGCTGAAGACAAAAAAAATCCATGAGAACCAAAGTATGACCTTGATTATATCCCTCCTGAATTTAGATACCATCTAAAAAACAGATTTGATGAATTGAACACAATGACCGAAAACCAGAGGAATTGTGGGATGACATCAAGAACACTGTCCATGAAGAAAGCAAAAGGTCATTAAAAAGACAGGAAAGGAAGACAAAATCAATTTTCTGACATTCCATTTGGATGTCAGAAGAGACTCTGAAACTTGCCCTTGAAGGAGAGTAGCTAAAGCAAATGGAAGAAATGACAAGATAAAAGAGCC